TCAGGCTTTGGCCAATCAGTTCGTGAGGTTGGATGTTTCTGAGCCCAGTTGGGTGTTAGCCTGCACGGTCGCTCGTTCTTCTTTATTGGAGCGTATCCGTGATCGACAGTATGCTTATCCACATTTGTGTGTCCTTATAGACACGGTGCAGCACGGAGGTGCCAAGCAGGTTACCTTAGGTGATGATGGAGTTTTGAGATTGCAGGGTCGAGTTTGTGTGCCTAATGTGGATGGTCTTCGAGAGTTGATTTTAGAGGAGGCCCATAGCTCTCGGTGCTCTATTCATCTGGGCGTCGCGAAGATGTATCAGAATTTGCGGCAGCAATATTTGGTGGTGGAGAATGAAGAAGGATATCGTTGCATATGTGGCTCAGTGTTTGAATTGTCAGCAGGTTAAGTATGAGCATCAGAGGCCTGGTGGTTTGTTCCAGAAGATTGAGATTCCTGAGTGAAAGTGGGAGCAGATCACTATGGACTTTGTTGTTGGACTCCCACGGACTCAGAGGAAGTTCGATACAGTATGGGTTATTGTTGATAGGCTGACCAAGTCAGCACATTTCATTCCTGTGGCAGTCTCCTATTCTTTTGAGAGGTTAGCTGAGATCTATATTCGTGAGATTGTTCGTCTTCATGGTGTGCCTGATTCTATCATTTCGAACCAAGGTACGCAATTTACCTCACATTTTTGGAGAGCCGTTCAGCGAGAGTTGGGCACACGAGTTGAGTTGAGCATAGCATTTCATCCTCAGACGGACGGGCAGTCCGAGCGGACCATTCAGATTTTGGAGGATATGCTCCGAGCTTGTGTCATTGACTTTGGAGGCTCGTGGGATCAGTTTTTGCCTTTAGCAGAGTTTGCCTACAACAACAGCTACTAGTCGAGCATTTAGATGGCTCCTTACGAGGCTTTATATGGTAGGCGGTGTCGGTCTCCGGTTGGATGGTTTGACCAGGAGAGGCTCGGTTGTTGGGTACGAATCTGGTTCAGGATGCCTTCGACAAGGTCAGGATCATTCAGCACAGGCTTCGTACAGCTCAGTTCAGGCAAAAGAGTTACGCCGACCGCAAGGTTCGTGATTTGGCATTCATGGTCAGTGAGGGGTATTGCTTTGAGTGTTGCCTATGAAGGGCGTGATGAGGTTTGGGAAGAAGGGCAAGCTTAGCCCTAGGTTCATTGGCCCGTTTGAGATTCTTGATCGAGTGGGAGAGGTGGCTTATAGACTTGCATTGCCGCCGAGCTTATCAGCCGTGCATCCAGTGTTTCATGTGTCCATGCTTCGGAAATATCATGGCGATCCATCCCATGTGTTAGATTACAGCACTGTCCAATTGGACAAGGACTTGTCTTATGAGGAGGAGCCGGTAGCTATTCTAGACCGGCAGGTTCGTCAGTTGAGATCGAAGAGTTTTCCTTCTGTTCATGTTCAGTGGAGAGGTCAGCCTGCTGAGGCATCGACCTGGGAGTCCGAGTCCGATATGCGAAGCCGTTATCTCCATCTTTTCCCCGACTCAGGTACTTCCTTCTTATATGGGACTTGGGCGTATGCCCGAAATCGAATTCCAAGGTCCCAAGCTCGAGAAATAAATTTTTGAAAGAAATTATTTTCTGAAAAATATAAAGGTTTTTGAAAGTGAAATGTTATGTGAAACCTGTGGTATCGGGCCCGTATTATGGTTCCGGAGCTCGGTACAGGTTCAATATGATTTATATGTGTTGGCGGTAAAGTTAGGTAAGAAACAGAATCCATTTGATGTGATTATGAACTTAAATACAAAATTTGATGTTTAAAGAAGTTTAGAGAAATTTCATTGATCTTGAGGTTTAATTAGATGTTCATGATGTTATTTTGGGGATTTGATTACACGAATAAGTCCGTAGGATGTTTTTGAGGTTGGATATTTGGTTTGGAGGTCCGAGGGTTCGGATGAGTTTTGGATAGACCACAGGGTGCATTTTGAACTTAGAAAATTGCAGGATTTTTGCTGGTATGATCAGGCCTGCAGGCTTCGCATTTGCGAAGCCTGGCTCACAAATGCGGTATCACAAATGCGAAGGCTTGGTCGCAAATGCGAACCAGCCCAGGCCTGCCATTCCATATAAATGAGAGATGTTCCTCGCAAATGTGATGGTGCCTTCGCAAATGTTATGTATGCTGGAAATGCTTGAAGTCGCAAATGCGACATTTCTGATCGCAAATGCGAAAGTCCAAATTTCATGAAGGGTTCGCAAATGCGAGCCCTGTTTCGCAATTCCCAAGACAGCAGAGGTCGAGGTTCGCAATTGCGATTCCCTGTTCGCAATTCCCACATCTGAGACCTGCAACTTTTATACTTAGACGAATTTTAACCCATTTTTCATATCCTCTCAAAACATAAACACACTAGGGCGATTTTTCAAAGGCTTCTTCTTCTCCAAATCACTTGTAAGTCATTTTTAACTAGTTTTCTTCAATCATTAACATTTTTTAACATGATTTCAACTTAAAATCAATGATTTTCATGGGGGAAATTGGGTGTTTTGGGTAGAACCTAGGTTTTTCAAAAATTGGGGATTTGGACCTCGATTAGAGATCCGATTTCAAAACAAATTATATATTTGGGTTCGTGGGGAAATGAGTAATTGGGTTTTGGTTCGAATCTCGGATTTTTGAACATGTGGGCCCGGGGTGAGTTTTGACTTTTTGGGTAAAACTTTGGAAAACTCATTTTCATGCATTGGGGTTGATTCATTTAGCGTTTATTGATGTAATTAAGTAACTTGTGGCTAGATACGAGCGAATTGGTGGTGGAATCAAGGGGTAAATCTATAATTGAACGTGAATTGTGTTCGTGGCATCGAGGTATGTGTTTGGTCTAACCTTAGCTTGAGGGATTAGGAGTTGTGTCCTATTTGCTACTTGTTTTTTGTTGAGTACGACGTATAGGCATGGTGACGAGTATTTGTACGTTGGTGTCGAGCATGACCGTGAGTCTTGAATTGTAATTTATTGAGTTCTTAAATAATACTACGGATGCTTAAGTTGATGACTCTCTGTATTGAGCAAGGATCGTGATTATTCTCGTGGAAATTACTTATGACTGAGTATTGGTGTTAGCTGAGGTAGTTAGATGTTGGAACAAGTGGCTATAGTTGTTTCTCTCTTGCCAGGGTGTTGTTACTTATACTGTCGATTCCCTTGCCGGGATAGTGTAGTCCTTTATTGATCCCTTGTCGGGACTCTTGCTATGATTGTTGTTGATTGCATATGTGGATCGGGTTGCACGCCGCAACAATGAGATATTTGGATCGGGTTGCACACCGCAACAATGATATATTTGGATCAGATTACACGCTGCAAGAATGAGATATTTGGATCGGGTTGCACGCCGCAACAATGATATATTTGGATCGGGTTGCACGCCGCAACAATGATATATTTGGATCGGGTTGCACGCCGCAACAATGATATATTTGTATCGGGTTGCACGCCGCAACAATATTATGTGTGGATCGGATTGCACGTCGCAACAGTGAAAAATGATATGGATCGGGTTGCGCGCTGCAACAGTGTTGATATATATTGGGATCGGGTTGCGTGCCGAAACAATTGCTGATACAAAGTATATATAGATTGGATACAAATTTCTTATTGTTTTGCTGTGAAATCTAAGCTATTCTTTTGTTGTTACTCTTGATTTACTGTTGATATTGGTATACCCCACAGCATGTACCCCCCTCCCATATTTACTTGTTTATTTCCGTTTTATTTTCCGCTGTATATTATATAACTACACAGGTTATTTGGTAGTCTGGTCCTAGCCTCGTTACTACTTCGCCGAGGTTACGCTAGGCATTTACCAGCACATGGGGTCGGATTGTGCTGATACTACACTCTGCACTATGTGCAGATCCCGGAGCAGCTCTTGGACCATAGCATTTGGGTGGCTGCCTTCAGCCCAGCTAGAGATCCCGAGGTAGTCCTGCAAGCGTCCGCAGGCCCGACGTTCTCTTCTATCTTATTATGTGCTTTGTTTTCACTTGTATCCGAGACAGACTATACTTCCTTTTTCAGATACTTGTATGTAGTACTCATATACAATCAGTGATGTTGTGACACCGGATTCCGCGTAGAGACGTATGTTGGCATTGTAGTACTGGCATTGGTTATTTTATCAGTTTACCGCTTGTTTTATTTATCATTAATATTCAATGTTGATTACCCATTAATCTCAATTGTTAAAAAGGGATAAAATGAAAGGGGTAGTGATTCTTCATTTGCGCGGCTTGCCTAGCTTCTACGAGTAGGCGCCATCACGACTTCCGAGGGTGGGAAATCCGGATCGTGACAGTTAACTCTTTTGTTGCTTTTATATTAAATTATGTCTTATTATATCACGTTTTATTGATTTAATATTATTAAATGATTGGCTTACCTAGTCTTGGAAGTTAGGTACCATCAGGATCCTTATGGTGGAATTTGGATCGTGACAATAGATCAACAGGAAATAGTATCTACCCTTTCCATAGAAGATTTGATTTTATAAAACTAACTGCAAATAGCATCTACACATGCATTTCACTTCCAAAAACACTTTTTAAAATCCAAAATCACAAAGATTTCTAAGAAAAAATAAAAGAGATATTTACACATAAACCAATGTCAGAGTTCAAAAACCTAAAACGTTAATGTCACAGTTAACAACTTAATGCATAAACTTGGAATAAAAAAACAAACTCCAGCTCCGACAAACAGAGGTGGATCCAGGATTTAGGGGTTACGGGTGCCGACATAATCGATTTGATCAACTCGAGCGTCGGTTCGGGTTATACATCCTTTTTATTTATATAGACAAATAGATCAAACGAAAGAAAATATAATAACTATAACTAATTGACGCAAAGCATAAAACTTCCAATAATATTTTTAATATCATACACAATCTATTTACAATTGTCCTCTATGAGCTTTCATATTTTGAAAACGATCAATAATGATATCATTACTTATATTTGTAAATACATCACGCTCTATGTAACAAACTAAACAATCATTTAAATATTGATCACCCATGTTGTTCCGCTTTTCATTCTTTATCTGCTTCATGGATGAGAATGCTCTCTCCACAGTTGCGGTAGCAACAGGTAAAATCAGAGTTAACTTCACAAGTAGATAAACATACGAATAAGTCTCCACAAAATTTGTCTCAGCCAATGCTTTTGCCAAATCACTAATTCCTTGCAAGTTGGAGAACTTGGGATTGCCAGCTCGCATATGAATTATGAAAGTATCTAGTTGATAACTCAAGTCTCGAATCTGTACTTCATCAAACTCATTTGGGTAACATTTTGTTAAAGCCATTATTCTACCTTTATCAAATTAGCAAAAGAATTGACTGGATTCAAGCTAGCCATCCCAAGAAGCAATTCGCTACTCACTACACCAAAACGGTCATTAAGCTCTTGAAGTTGCACATCAATTACAGCATAAAAGATATCAACACGCAAGTGGTGTGAATAACAAATACCAGAAGACTTGCGCTTCGACTTTCCAGGAAAATAGGATTCATCCATCTTGGGAATTATAATATCATGCATATGACAAAATGAGGAAACATCATCTAGCAAAGATTCCCATCCAGTTTCCCTCATATCTTGCAATCTTTTCTTTGTAATCTTAAGAAACTTCACGGCATTAACAATATCTTGATCTCTCTTTTGTAGGATCTTGTTCAACTCATTTGACATTGCCAAAACTTTCAACATCAAGTGAAGCATAAAAACAAATTTAAATGTTATTATCTCACTCAAAAGATATTTTGCTTGATTTCTCTCATTTGAGGTAGAACCTTCATGTTCAATCACTTCAAGCACACGAATAATAGATGAGAAAATAACAATAAAGTTATCTAATGTTTTGAAATGTGATCTCCAACGAGTATCACCTAGTCTTTGAAGCCCGCGTTCTTGATTTAGTACTCGCCCGGTATGAATTTCACCAGACTCAAGTAATTGCTCCAGTTTTTCAGCTTGAAGATGGCGAAGCAAATCTCTGCGCTTAAAAGATACTCCAATGACATTTAACACATTTGTAACATGACAGAAGAAGTCTTCGACATCCAAATGCTTTTTAGACATAGCTACAAGTGTTAATTGCAATTGATGAGCAAAGCAATGAATGTAATATGCCGATGAGCTGTATTTCATAATCAAAGTCTTAAGACCACTTATCTCTCCCCTCATGTTACTAGCTCCATCATAACCTTGTCCACGTATTTGGGATGGACTTAGTGAGTGGTCTGAAAGCAAAGAGTAGATTGTTTCCTTCAATGAGCATGCTGATGTATCACTAACATGAACAAGACCAACAAATCGCTCTACCACTTCACCATTCTTATCAACATAACACAAAACAAGAGCCATTTGTTCTTTGTGTGAGATATCTTTGGACTCATCAACTAATATACCAAAGTAATCTCCATTCAAGTCTCCAATTATAGCCTTTAATGTTTCTTTTGCACAAGCATTGATAATATCCTTTTGGATTATAGGGCAAGTCAAAGTATCATTTTGTGGAGCATTTTCTAATATTACTTTTCCCACATCCGGATGCTTGTCCCCATGCCATCGTAAGAATCCTTGAAAGAGGCCTTGATTTGTTGAAGATTCACTTTCGTCATGGCCCCTAAAAGGCAATCCATACAATAATAGAAGTCTTGCCACATCAATTGATGCTTCTAAACGCATTCGATACTCACTTTTTAACTTCTCGGAGTGCTTATCAAAAATAATTGAATTGATTGATGATGATTTGATAAATCTAGCATCTTCTTGAAACATTTATCACGGACACTATTAACATCACCAACGTGTAAACGCAATCTTTCAAGACCCTTATTCCAATCCCTAAAACCATTTTTTGTATAAAATTCACCCGCACTTCCATGAATAAATTCATTTTTGAACAAATAACAACATAAGCAAAATGCCGCATCTTTGTTCACACTATACTCCAACCATTTAGAAAATTGACCATTGAACCAACTTGGAACAAATTGGCGCATTCTTCCTCCTATTAGAGTTTTGGGAAATTGATGCTTGGAAGGTTGACAAGGACCTTGTTGAATGTAATGTTTCCTTACTTCATCTTGTATTCTAGGGTTATAGTCAGAAATAGGTATTCTTTCTCCTGGATCGCCTTTAAGTGACCCCAAATCGAGTTCATTTATAAGATAAGAAAGATTGGCATTCGCTTGGATCAAGGATTGACAACTAGGACTTGGTTGAGAATGGTCCAACCTCGTGACAAATTTATCCATCTCACTTCAGTTCCTATAAAATAGAAGTTCATTCCAGTGAAAAATATAGACTAATTTCTAGTAGGTCATACCATCAATAAGTTTTGTTATTTTAAATAACTCAACCTACCCTAATATTTTTGTCGTCGTTAAAATAGAGTTAATTTTGAATTTTCCTTGATCAAAATTATTTGGGATGTTCTTTCCACGATACTAAATTCTACAGTGAAACCATATAAGAGGCATTTGATTTTCAAACACACCCAAAGAAATACATAACAAAAAAATCAAAATAGTGACAATAAAGTTTAGCAAGAACACTAAAATCCAACTAAATACAAAACAAAAACATGAGCAAGAACATATATTTCATGGGAAAAAAATAGCCACATAGGGTTAAGAAATAAACATGAGGAGATGAGGAAACTTTACAATGGTGGGCGTAGAGCAATAAAGGTGTGAAGCATCCGAAAGATAAAGCAAAATAAATGCTAAAGTCTAAAAGAGAAGCAAGAAGCAGAAACAGTGGCATGAAGGTGAAGCAGCGAGAATTGGAGAAAGGAAAAGGGGAAAGTGGCGTAAGGGAGTTGGGGAGTTGGGGCTTTGTTTTACCTTTTGAAAATTGGGATTTGGGAAAGATCCTCAAAAAGGATTTTAACTTTCTATATTAATTATAAGAGAATACTTTTATTATTATTTTATCTTATTTGTTTATACTTAATTAAACAAACAGAAAAGTCAAACATTTAATATAAAATATAGAAGAGTGTGCTGTGTAGTGTATTTAATCTCCTTAAATTGCAACTGAATGTAAGCCAAAATATTATTTTCTCCCAACAGGATTCGAACTATTGCCCTGCTGAACAAAAAGGCAAACCTTTGCCATTGGCACCTTTGCCACTTTTGTTTTATGGGTTGACACTTTAAATATATATCCTATTTGGTATACATATTTACATATATATATATATATAAAGTTTTCGCCGAAACTTGCAGGTGGCGTACCACCCCGAATCATGTACATAGATCCGCTCCTGCCGACAAACAATGCTCAAATGTAGTTGAATTCGAAACAATAACCACCTTCGCCATATAATATCTTGTTGTACACAACCAAATATAAATAGCAACGACACATGTACTTCACTTCTAAAGAAATAAAAAATCATTCTTCATGAGAGATAATCACAACTTAAGAAAAGAAAAGGAGAAATAAAAATATATACCCAAAATTATCGAAGTACGAGCAAATACACTGTGCTAAAGGGTCAATATAGATGAGAGAGAGCCAATTGTGGCCCAATTTTGGTCTGAAACCGCCACTAGAAAAAACAAAACTGACTTGATGAAGTGGGTCGACGGTGAATTCTTGAGAGAGGAGAGAGAAAGAGAAAGTGAGGGAGAGGAGAGAGAAAGAGGGAGGGAGGGTGTCACGACCCAAAATCCACTAATCGCGATGACACCTAATCCAACCCGCTAGGCAATCCAATTAATAACTATTCAATTCCATTAAAGTCAACCAAACAATTAAATAGAGAAGTTAACTGAATTTTATACATTCTTCAAGGACTGGTAGTACAAATCATGAGCTTCTAAGAATAGAGTTCACAAATTAGATATGAAGAAAATACAACTTCTGTTTGAAAAGTATATAAACAGAGTTTTATAAAGCTAAGGCTATCATGAACAAGAGGCAGCTACATCAAAGATGCAGGTACACCTTCAAATCCAGAAATACGCAGCAACATCGGCATCCGAGATCTGCACGTAATGTGCAGGAAGTGCAGTATGAGTACAACTGATCTCATATACTCAAAAAGTAACAAGTCTAACCTCAAGTTGAAAGTAGTGACGAGCCGGAACATAGGTCGGGTCCAACATTAATATCCAATAACAGTTCATAATAATGTAAAGCATATAAATAAGGAAGTAACTCAGAGTAAAGTGTTCAGCTTTTTCACAGTTTCCCAAAATAGTTCCGCCTTTCAAGAGTATCAGTGAAAACTCAAATTCTTTACCGAAAACGTCGTGAAATATGAGATAGTTTAAAAAAAACTATATTTTCTTTTCCAAAACCCCTTTCCACAATAAATAAGATATTTCATTTTCTTTCTAGATATCAAGTGTGAGATACCTCTCTATGACCACATATCAATGTGTGTAAAATATCATGTATGACGGGATACCGTACACCATGAGGAAAATGTATCTCTATGCATGTATGCCATATATGCATGCCAATATCATGTATCTCATAGATGAATCATGTACGCACACTCTCGGAGTACTCAACCTCACTATATCACACCTTCCACTCATCATAATCAATCACTCGGTACTGTATATGGCCCAAACGGCCCAAGGAAGATCCATCCCGAAATATATATATATCACTAACTATAAGTCACCCAGTATCGAGGAATCAGGCCAATCCAGCCTCATAGAGAAGATCCATTTCCATACCAAGGGAAGATCCATCCCTGAATGTAATCAAGTACTTCAGACAAATCCATGTCCAGGGAAATCCATCCCTCAATAATATCATCCGCGTTCACTGAGGGTGTGTAGACTCCGAAGGAGCTCCTTCAGCCCAAGCGCTATAACAAGCCAATGAAGGTAGAATCCATAATCTGTTGCGGCGTGCAGCCTGATCCCATAACTGTCACTCATAATCAGGCTCTCGGCCTCACTCAGTCATCAATGTCTCCAGTCTTACCCACGGGCTTACAATGTCATGAAAACTGAATCGGAATAATGATATGATGTATCAATGAGTAACAACTGAGACTGAGATATGATATGAATGCATGAATGTGACTGAGTACGAAATATCAATGAATTCAATGAGATGACAGCCAGAAACGGCCACTATAGGCCCCAACATTATCAGCATAAAGCCTAAACATGATATCTAACATGATGTACAACACATTTATCTTATCACAAATATTGGTGAAAATACAAATAACAATAAAATAGAGCCACTATTCAGTGCCCTGGAATCAACAGAGTCGCAACTCATAGGGTGAACGCCCACACGCCCGTCACCTAGCATGTGCTCACC